TTATTTTAGCAAGGCTCTAGTGAGAGTTGGGCGTCACCTACCCAGGGCAGACTGGAGTAGTGAGGCCAAGCACAAATAGCAGGAAGCAGTTACATAGTCTTAGACAAATCACTCCAAGAAACCCCCCACACACACTTGTTTGTCTCAATCTCTTTATCCTCATTGGTTGAGGCAAGAGACCTCACAGTCTATATTTAGAACCCAAGAGATACATTTTACTGGAAACAAGCTTGGGAGCTAAAGGCTTGCCTTATTTGGTAAAGATAAGGTACAAAACAAAAGAGGGAGTTGTTACAAAACAAGGGAGAGGGGTGGGCAGCTGATGCACAAACCCCATTCCCCAAAAATGAAAGTGAAACTTAGGCCCGGTTCATGCTGAAGCCTTACTACATATTTGGAGCATAGCTTACATCTCACATGAGAAACTTTCACTTGTCCCACACAGGATCTACCTCACAGGGTAGTGTGATGGTGAAGATAAAATGAGATGATCTTTGTAAAGCACTTTGCCAACCTAAAAGTGCTATATAACTGCTAATTATCATAAACCGGCATTTGGTGAGAAGGGATTGAAATCTTTGTATATATCGCTTGGGACATTCCTTCCCCCTTAAGGGACAGAGGTCAGGAGAGTGGCTTGAACCTAAAATTTATTTCCCCTGGACTAAAACTAATCAGTGGTTGTGGAGGGATATAATCCTCACCAAGTTACACATCAGCCCCAGGGTGCCATGCTCTGCTGGCACGAATGAAAGCTCCCTTGGGGTTCAGAGAACAACATGGGCAGGACACCTACCCACCCTAACCTGGTTACAGAAACAATGAGAGCACGTTGCAATGCTTCTCAACCCTTTCCACAGCCCTGTCACAAGCAAGCAAGGAAAATGGGTTCACATTGAAAACAAAATGGATTCTCTCAGGAGCCCCACCCTCTCAGGCGTTTTAGGGCTTCCGGCTTCCGGAGGGAGGAGCCATGGGATGTCAAAGGGGAGTCCTAGAGCAGGAGTCAGGACCCACTTCCGGTTTTGATACCCCGCCCACATTGCGCCTTCCCTGCCCAACTTCTGAGAAGGGTTCAAAGGTCATTCCAGGCGGGCTGTTTTACGCCCCCAGACGCTTCGGTCTCTGTGCTGACTTGTGGAGAGTCCTCCTCCCTTGGGGGAGCCACAGACTTGGGTTAGGATTCTGGCCCCGCCACTCCTTGCTGACCCTTCAGTCGGGGTAAGGGGCACCCCTCAGGGGCTCCGTAGTCCGACCCCGACCAGCTCTTTTTTTCTTCCCACTTTACGGATGAGAAACCGCTAGCGACAAAGATCACAGCGCTTAGTAAACATCAGAGACAGGATTAGGACTCTTTAACCCTAGAACCGGTGGTCTTTATTGTACCATTCTGCCTTCGCCTAATCAGTTTCTTCATCTGTAAAACGGGGATAGTAAGTGGTGGCTACTTTCCAGGGTTATTTTGAGGGTTAAAAGGGCTTCGTCTGTGCTGGGTACTTGAAAACCCTCCATGAATCCTATTTAGCTCCGACTATTAACCGTCTAAGTCCCAATAGGTTTCCTGTCAGGTTAAAGTGGGAGTTGGAGACACCCAGGGCTTCACTCTCTTCCTCTCCCTTCTTCCCTATTGTTAGCATCTGATGGATCATAGGCTTCACCCAGAAAGGAGGACTCTGCAGTTGCTTAAATTCCATTCCACAAACAACAAATGGTAAAAGATAAGAATGCCAGAAGTCCACGCCCTCAGGAAGGTTAATGATTCAACAGATCAACAAATGTTTGCTAATCACTGGGCCCTGGAAGACAAAAACTCTTCAGGACGAGCTCTCAAGGAGATTAGAATCTTAAAAGACTGTGACACATAAAGAGAAAATAAATGATTCATTACTCAAACAAGCGTACTCATAAGTAGGTGTATATGACTCTCATTTTACAGATAAGGAAACAGAAGAGACATGTCCAGAGTTACATAGCTTGCAAGTATCAAAGCCAGGCTTCAAACTCAGGTCCTCTGAGTTCACCCCCCTGACTACTGTTTTCTCCTTTGTTTGCATCTATTCTTACTGCCTTCTTTGCTAATTCTTGTGACTTTTAAAGGACCTGGTTTTGTGGTAAAGTATTCATGGAAGGACCAAATCCTTTTTCTTTTGAACATTTGAAATATTAGAACAAAACAATACAATGTATAGTTATGGTGTTGCCCCCACAAATGAGGGAAACTCAAATAATCTGTATGTGATAATTCTTCTGTTCTAGATTGTTGACACTACTTCAGTGCTCAATGATTTTGTCATTGTAAGTACTTACTTCATTAGTGTAGATTGCATCCAGAAATGCTGTGGCCCAAAATGCATCACCTTGTGGCCAGCCTGGTGATGAACTTCTCCGAACTTAGTTATGTTGGTAAGTTCTTATAGGAGCTGCACAGGGTTTACCAAAAAGGCATGGCTGCTGGGTTACAGTAGAAGAAAAATATATGACTCTTGGCAACATGTAGCTTCCAGCGATGGAAAAGTATACTGTTCATTGATCTCAGATGGATTCAGATCATATATAGTACTTAGTTACTACTATTCATCTATAGCCTGAAAGCTTGGGTCAGAGAAAATGTTAATAGTAGTCTCAGCCTTATAGAGTCAAATGTCTTCTAAAAACACTGAACTTAAATTTATATGTACACACGTGTGTGTGTATATATTTCATATACATATATTTGTATATATTTCATATACATATATGTATGTGTGTACATATGTGTATGTATGTATTTCAGTGTAGAGGTAACCCTGGTGTTCCTCAGAGAGTATGCCAGCAAACCACACACTGACAGATCTTAACAGTATTGAAGGCCCCACCATACGTGGTCCTGGTTACAGACAGTACGTGTCAGCCTAGGTAAATTCTGAGAAATACTTCATTTGCTTTGGGTGTTGGATGTTTAGTTCTTTTGGCCATAGCAATTCACTAAGGCAGTCTGCTAAGTCATGAAGGAGTCGTGATCTGTATGTATGGGTATAGCACCCACATTGCTGAAATCACTTGATTTCTTGAAGTTGAATAGCTTATATATATATCACAGGATAAGGGCATGGTAAATGCGGGTAAGTCATTTGGATTTCACTGTAAAGTGTTCTTTAGGGTTTGTAGCAAATGGTCTTTGTGCTCTGCTGGGATCCCTAATTGGAGCTGGTTCAGGAGTGAGTTCAAAGATTTACCTGCATAATTCAGGAGCACAGAATTAAAAGGAAGAAGAGAAATGTGCTGCAGCCTGATGGTGTAGATGGGTTTGGTTTAATTTTAAGGAAAATTATGATTTGCTTATGTTTGGAGGCTGAAGGAAAGGGGGATGAGTGTTTAAGGTTTAGAAAAATTAGGAGGGAAGAGGCCACCAAACACCCTGCTTTTCCCTAGGTCTTCTGTGCAGCATGTTCCCTGACCAAATATTCCACTTTCCATAACTCTCTTTCTCTTTCTTTACTTTTACCATGCCCTCTGTCTAGGTTGTGTCTCTATTTCACATCTCTGCTTACCCATTACTACCTTCCATCTTCTCTCAATGTATGGTATCACTTCTAAGAACTGGTATGGTCACATACTAGTTAAACATCAGTGTCTATCATGAGTCTGTTTCTAAGTACAGAAAAACATATTTTGTTTCTTGTTTCAGATTCTGAAAGAACTGAGAATAAGCAATCAGATGAAAAAGAAGAAAATCCCGTAGTAGAATTACATGGGGAAAATTCAGGAGGGGCGGAGCCAAGATGGCAGAGTGAAAGCAGTGACTTGCTTCAGCTCTCCCCCAAACCCCTCCAAATACTCATAAAAAATGTCTCTAAACAAATTCTGAAGCAGCAGAACCCACAAAAAGACAGAGTGAAACAAATTTCCAGCCCAAGACAACCTGGATGATTGATCACAAAGGTGTATTGCGCCAGGCTGGGAGCGCAGAGCGGCGTGGGCGCGCAGGCGGCAGCAAACCTGGAGGAGGCCTCAGAGGACTGAATTGGGGCAGCTGTGGAGGTTTCCAGACTCCTCAATCCACAAATGCCAAAGACAACTTAGAAGGTCAGTGGGAAAAGTCTGTTTCTGTCAGTGGTCAGAGAGGAAGGCGGGGTTTCAACTCCATTCCCCAAGAGCGTGGCCCTGTGGGGGGGCAGCTGCTTCCCGAGCTTCCGGCCCAAAGACTGAGGGGGAATCCAGTGGCTGATCAGAGAGGGACTGCAGGGATCTCTTTGCCAGTGCTGAGGCAGGAATCTCTTGCTTTGCCCGTGTGTGGATCTGGGTCACAGTTCTGGGCGGCAGTGCTGGGGTGAGGAAGCTGGCATGGTGGAGCTTGTAGTGGCTGTGAGAGGAACCCTCCTCACAGTTACAGGACAGAAAGGAATACTTGTGGTCACAGGCCAGGAAAGGAGTAAACACCTCACCCCTTATCATACCACCTTGGAAGAACTGAAAATTTACAGGTCCCTACAAGTATCTCTGAAAACAGCTACAAACCCTGAAGCTTGGGACAGTACACTCTCCACATTGGAAGCAGACTCTTACCTTAACAAAGAGTTTAAAACTCAAGTAATTGGCTGGGATCATGAGCAAGCAGCGCAAAAAGAGTCAGACTATATTATCTTGCTTTGGTGAAAAAGAAGATCAAAATATACAACTAGAAATCAAAGCTCCTACATCCAAAGCCTCCAAGAAAAATATGAATCAGTCCCAGGCCTTGGAAGAGCTCAAAAGGGATTTTGAGAAGCAAGTAAGGGAAGTAGAGGAAAAACTGGGAAGAGAAATGAGAGTGATGCAAGAAAATCATGAAAAACAAGTCAACAGCTTGCTAAAGGAGACCCAAAAAAATGCTGAAGAAAATAACACCTTAAAAAACAGCCTAACCTAAATGGCAAAAGAGGTCCAAAAAGCCAATGAGGAGAAAAATGCCCTAAAAAGAAAAATTGGCCAAATGGAAAAGGAAGTCCAAAAGATTACTGAAGAAAATACTTCCTTAAAAATTAGAATAGAGCAATTGGAAGACAGTGACTTTATGAGAAATCAAGACACTGTAAAACAAATCCAAAAGAAAATTCAGGAATACTTGTAAAGAACTTTCCTCAGGAATCAGAATCTAGAGAATATTTTGAACCTGAAGGAAATTTAAACATTTATCAGAAAAATTCTTCAGCAGTGGTTTTGAGGAAATTCTTTTCTCAGGATAAAGATCTCAGTAAAATCTGAGCCTCAAGAAAACCCTTCGAATGAACATTAGCAAAAAACATAATGAATTTAGGAGAAATTTCAGGCTGAATACCACACTCATTCACAACACAGAGAGATATCAAAAGAAAGAGCCCATATATGTGATACTTGTGGCAAAAGCTTTAAACATAATTCATACCTCATTCAATATCAGAGAATCTACTGTAGAAAGAAATCACACAAATGCAATGAATATGGGAGATTTTTCTTAGAGAATCTGCAAATCTTAGAGAACATTAAAAAATTCATACTGGAGAGACACCATATAATATAATAAATGTTTGAAAGCTTTCAGTCATAACTCCTGGCTTATTCGGCATCAGTTAAAACACACAGGAGAGAAATCTCATAGATGTAGTGAATGTGGTAAGAATCATCCTTCTGAATGCATACCTTATTCAACATCAGAAAATTCATGGAGAGAAACCTTATAGATGTGGTGGATGTGGTAAATAAAACCTTCAGTCTGAATTCATGACTTAATCAACATCAAAAAATTCATAATAGAAACCATTTAAATTTGGTGAATGTGAGAAAACATTCAGTCGTAGGTCATATCTTATTCAATATCAGAGAATTCATACTGGAGAGAAACCTTTTAGATGTGAAGAATGTGGAAAAGCCTTTAATGAGGATTCTCAGCTTATATTACGTCAGAAAATTCATACAGAAGAGAGGGCCCATGAATGTAATGAATTTGGGAAAGCTTTTAAGCAGAAATCATTACTTATTAGTCATCAAAGAATTCATACTAGAGAGAGACCCTGTAAGTATAAGGAATGTGGAGAAGCCTTCATTAAGAGCATTCACCTTATTCTACAGCGGAGAAATCACACTGGAGAAAGACCCTACAAATGCAATGAATGTGGGAAATCATTGTCAGAGTTCAACCCTTAGCACCAAATAATTCATAGTGGAATAAAACCATACAAATATAATGACTGGGAAAACCCTTAGTTAGGGTTCATATGTTATTCAACATCCAAGAAAGCAATCCACTAACATACTTAGGTACTTTTTCATTAATTAACATATGCTGGAGAAAAACCATATAAAGGTAATAATTTTTTTAAAAATTCATTTGCAGCTCAAGCCTTATCCTATATCAGAGAACTCATACTGGACAGAAGCCCTATAAATGCAATGAGTATGGTAGAGACTTCATTCAGAGTTCACAACTTATTCAGCATCAAAGAATTCATATTGGAGAAAAGCCCTATGGATGTGATGAATGTGGCAAAGCCTTTGGTCAGAGCTCACAACTTATTCAACATCAAAGAATTCATACTGGAGAAAAATGTTATGGGTGTGATGAATGTGGGAAGACCTTTGGTCAAAGTTCACAACTTGCTCTACACCAGAGAATTCATACTGGAGAGAAACCCCACAAAAGTACTGAATGTGGGAAAGCCTTCACTCAAAGCTCAGTTCTTATTAGGCACCAGAGAGTTCATACTGGTAAGAAATCTTATGAAGGCCACGAATGTGGGAAAGCTTTCAGTCAGAGTTCAACCCTTGTTCAGCATTAGATCATTCATAGTATTGTAAAAATTTTCAAATGTAATGAAAGTGGAAAAGCTTTTAGTCAAAGCTTATACCTTATTTTATATCAGAGAACTCACTGAGGAGAAATTCAACCAAATTAGTCAATATGAATACCTTTAAAACCTTAAACCTCATAAAACATCAGAAATTTTACTGTAGAGGAATTTAATGAATGTGATCAGTATAAGAAAGCCTTCAATTAAAGTTTACATCTTAATCTACATAAAAACAACTAATTTTGGAGAAAAATCCTATAAATGTAATTAATTTAAGTCTTCAGTTGTAGTCCTCATTTATTTAATGTCAAAGTCTTCATACTGACAAAAATATAAGAATTCCAGTAAGAATATTGTAATAGCTTCAGCAATACTTCACGGAGTTCATACAATTTCAGAAATGGAAGGGTGCCTCAGAAGTCAACTTGTCCCAGTCTGTAAGTGAATAAGAATATTCTCACAATATCCCTGACAAATGATCAGTTGCTTAAGTACTTCCAGTAATGGGGCATCTCCTCAAGGCAGCATATTTGCCATTTTCCTTTAATTTATTGCTTCTAGCTTTGCCCCCTGGTGCTAAACAAAACAAAGTTCCTTTTCCCCATGATAACACTTCACATACTAGAAGTCATCTATCATATCTTCCCAGAAGTCATCTTCTCTCTAGACTAAATATCCTTCCCCTAAATTGAAGTTGTTATTGTCCTTTGGTTTTCCAAATGTCTTCTTTGCTCTCTCTAAACTCTGTTATTTTGGGGAAATTTCTTCTTAAACTGCGGTGCCCAGAAGTCAATTATGTTCTCAACAAAGCAGAGAATAACAGAATATCATGCTTTTTTTTTTTTTGGCTTTTTGGTGAGGCAATTGGGGGACTTGCCCAGGGTTACACAGGTAGTAAGTGTCAAGTGTCTTAGGCCGGATTTGAACTCAGATCCTTCTGACTCCAAGGCTGGAGCTCTGTCCATTGCACCACCTAGCTGCCCCTATGCTTTCTTTTAATGTGGCTCAAGATTATGTCAGCTTTTTGGGATGCCATGTTACTTTGTTGATTTAAATTGAACTTGCAATCCACTAAAATACTTAGGTACTTTTTATATTAATTAGTTTCTGTTAGTTAGCCTCTCCTCATCTTATGTTGATTCATCTAATATTCAATTGCAGAGTTTCTCATTTGTCCATATTAAATTTTATCTTCTTTTAGATTTGATCCATCATTTTATCCTGTTGAAATCTTTTGGGAACCTAACTCCTGTTATCCAAAATGTTCCCGCATTGGGAAATTCATAGGAAGGTATAATCTCATGTACATTTGTACTTTTGTTAAATGTTAGAGCTCTTGACAAAATGTGATTAAAGTCCGTAAATTTATAGACAAGATTTTCATCTATTTAGAACATCATATATGGTGAATAAATTTGAGGAACAAATCATAGGATCATAGAATTGGAGCTAGAAGGGGACTTAGAGGCCATCTAGTTCATACTCTTCATTTTACCAAAGAGGAAACCAAGGCCCAGAGTGGATAAGAGACTTGTCTAAGATTATGCAGTCAGTAATAACAGAGTTAAAATTCAAACTCTGGTCCTCCAACTTCCTAATCAAGCACTCTTTCCATTACACCATGCTGCTTCCCTCCAATCCAGTCACAGGCAAGGCACTGGGGATCCAAAGATAAAGTCTCTTCCATAAAAAAGACCATGCTTTACTGAGGACTACAACATATAAACCAATAGCTTTAGAAATTCATTTGATGTGTTCTGTTACTACTACCTCCACAAAGTCTTTCCCAGTTCATGATTTTCTTCCTACATACTGACACTATCCTAGTTCAGGCTTTTGAAACCTCTTGTCTGGATTATTGTTATAGCCTCCTCTTCCCAATTGATGTTTCACATAGCTGTAAAAAATGATCTTCCTAAAGCAGATATCAGACCATTTTGCTCTGGTGCTCAAAACATTTCAGTGATTATTTCCTTTAGGATGAAATATAAATTTTTAGCCTAGAATTTAAAGTCTGGCTATAACCTACCTTTCCATCTTTATTTCATATTATTTCCCTTCACATATACTACAGTCCAGTTACTAGTTGTTCCCTGAACTGGAAAAGTAATCTTTGCCTCTGTATTTGTACAAGCCATCTCCCGTACTCGGGATGTTCTCTTGTGCATTTCTGATTTTCTGATCCCTTTATCTGCCTTCAAGGCCAAGCTCAAGTGGTGCTATCTCATTTAGCTTTCATGATTCCTCCTGCTGGTAAACATTTTCTTCCCCTTTAAATATTCCTAGGCAACTTCATCTGTTCTCTCCTTCCCTCTCTACATTCCTCACCTCACACTTATTTTGCTACATCGTCTCTCTACAGTAGAATGAGAACTCTTTGATGGAACAGAGGTTACTCCATTTTTGTCTATATTTCCAACATTTAGCACAGTGCACTCGGTATATTATGACAGGTGCTTAAGAAACGCTTGTTGAATTGAAAATGGAACATATGAACGCCCCACAAAAGTCAGTAATTACATAAATATCTCTAATTTAGTATTTAAGTCCTTCTGGTCTCTGCTTCTTATCCTTAATAACTATCCTTTCCACTCATTATTGCTCTGGCCGTTTATTAATTCAGCATGTGCCTACTCTATACAAAACACATGGAGGGAGAGTAGTTAATACAAATTCTTATACAAAGAAGATACAAAGCGTTTCCTTTATGAAGTTAATCGGATGTTGTCTTCCAGTATCTGAAGGAAGATCGAGTATTAGAGGTATTGGACTTGCTGTGTTTGGTTCCTTAACAGTAGAATTAGAAGCTGTGGGTGGAAACTGCAGAGAGAAAAATAGGATCGGTGTTACGGACAACTTTCCAACAATTAGCGTTCCCACAGCGGAGTGAGCAGTCTCTGGAGGTAGCAGGAGGTCTTCAAAGGTTAGATGACCACTTGTAGCCATACTGCAGAAGAGTTCAGGTTCAAGTACAGGTTGGACAAGGTGCCCTCTGAGGAGCTTTCCTGCGCTGAGATTCTGTGACGCTGAGGTTCGGCGAGAGCAGTGATTGGCTGATCTCCTTTTGATGGGCTGTTGTTAGCCTTTGGCGGGAGTGAGGAGCAAGAAAATGCACACGGCCTCCATCCTCCTGCAGCTTTGTGGACCCTTATGGTGAGGCTCCCCTTAAGAGTAAAAGTCTGGGTTAGGGCGCCAGGAGAAAGGTAGCGACGTGAGGACTCCCGGGTGCGGGCAATGAAGGAGAGATCTGGGGAGCTCTTCCTCCCTGGGGTCCCGGCTCTGCCCTCTTGCCCGCTCCTAAGCGTTTAAGACGCGGGGTGGGGAGGGCCATAGAGATTCTCGAGTCCTCCAAGCATCCTAGAACGGTCGCAGACTCCGGAGCCTAGGAGCTGCTTCCGGCCCTCGTTCGGTTCGTTTCCTTCCAGTTCGCCCCTGTTTTGGTTACAGTCAGAACTCCGCCCCCCAACCCTTTCCCCGGCCCCGGACGCCGCGCGCTCTGAGCGGACGGTGAGTCGGGGCCGGGGGCGGTGTGAGGGCCCGGTGGGGTTGGGGGTGGGCAGCGAGAAGAGTCCTCCCCTGGGACGTATTGACTGATCCCTTGGGCTTGACCCTGCCACTTAGTCACAGTGTGACCTTGGACGACCCCATCCTTCTCGGTTTCCCCCTCTGTAAAAAACGAGAGGGTCCGACTGTGTAGATCTCTGACGCTCCTTCCAGCTCTGACAATCTGGGGTCCAGGGTATATGGAGCAGCAAGATGGGGGGGGTGCGATGTGTGAAAGGAGGAAAACCCTGGGGCTGTCACTGGTGGGAGAGCGGGGAGCCCACCCCGCGGCTGGCCGCAGTGGATGAAGTGCTGGACTTGGAGTCAGGTTCAAATCCTGCCCCTGACGTCTGACAGAAAGTCGAAAAGTTTCCTCCTGTGTAAAATGAGGATAATGATATCTTTAATGCCTCTCTCAGGATTGGGAGGCTCAAATGAGATCATTTATGCAGAGGGCTTTGCAAAGTTTAAAGCGGACATAAATGCCAACCTTCATCATTAACGCTATATGCCCTAAACGGGTTTCTTGAGGCAAGTGAAAGTGGAAAATCCTGCCATCAGCCACATAGGCCATCTGTTGCTGCCTCACCGGCACTTGGCTCCTTAGTGACTGCTGGGCGCACCCCGGGCTTCACTGTGTGCAGAGGCCAGTGCAATGTTGAGTATATTCAATCTAACAAACGTTTATTAAGCTAAACTTAAGATAATACCACAATATAAGTGCATCAGTCCTGGCCCTGAAGCAGCTTGTATGTGGTCTGTATTAATTGTCAATTTGGCAGTTAAGACATTTGCTAAGTACAGGCCACTGGAGGACACACAAAGGAAAAAAGACCTGGGGCCTGCCCTTAAGGAACTTTTAGAATACTGGGGAATACAATACATACCCGGAAGATTATGGTGCAGGGAAGAATGTCATAGGAGAAAAGGAAGGTTATAAAAAAATGTGTTTATTTTTTGGACAATTGGGGTTAAGTGACTTGCCCAGGGTCACACAACTAGTGTCAAGTGTTTGTCTGAGGTCAGATTTGAAATGAGGTCCTCCTGACTTCAGGGCCGATGGTCTATCCACTGTGCCACCCAGCTGCCCCAGGTTATAAAAATTTGAGTAGGGAGAGATCACTCACTCTTGGCTGGGGAAAAATAAAGCATGAGTTTTATGTAACTATTGGTATCTGAGCTGAGCCTTGGAAAAGGACTTCGCCAGGCAGAGATTGGGCAGCCCTGATGCAGTGGATCAAGAGGAGCCTGGAGTTAGGAAGACTTGAAATTGAAATCTGGACTCAGACACTTAACTACCTGTGTAACCCTGGGCAAGTCACTTAACCCTGTTTGCTTGAGTTTCCTCATCTATAAAATGAGCTGGAGAAGGAA